GTAAGCTACTCAGTTGGCTTGTGAGTTTCAGCAGAGTTCCCACCGTAGAGAGGAATCTGCTCAGCAGCCCACCTGGTTTGCCCCAGACCTGGAAATGGAGAGAGCTGATTGGCTGCAGTGCCTGGAAATAGATGATGAGGCTGCCTATGCAGGAGCTGATCTTTCCCTGGGTGGGTCCTTCCTAGTCACCTGGGCAGCTGCACATTTCCCCTGAGTGGATAAGAGACCAGGCCCTTTGGTGTATGACCAGTATGGCTGTGCTCTAAAGCTAGGAGAGACAAAGCCACTTTATTCATTTTTAGACTGAAAACACTCTACTGCCATTACACACCTAATACTACAGCTCTATATACAAAAGATTAGTATTGCGGAGAAGCTTCATTCCACAAGAAGATCGAACTGCTCGGCTTCTTCAAACTCTGCATTCATTTGAGCAGCCCACTCATCCAATTCAGATTTCTAGAGCAGAGGAAGGGAAGTTAAAAAAAGGGAAAAACACAAAACTGTAATTGTAACAAGCACAAGCTGATATAGAGCAGCACCATTTCCCACCCCACGCCCCACCAACAGAACACGGGGTCCTTGCCCACCAGATCTACCCTCTCCTCCCGTCCAAGCACCAATCCCAAAGGCAACACTCACATCTATCTGGGGGATCTTCTTTTTCTTCCGTTTCTCTTTATGAAAGGAGATGCCAGGAATGTCTGTGTCCCATTCCTTACTGGAGCCCAGTGCCTTGCGCGCCAGGGGCAACTCCTGGGAAGGGCAAACCTGACCCACTGGAGACACGTCTGCCAGTGCATCAGGCACGAGGAGCTTCTCAAAGCCAAAGAGCGAACCCTTCTGCAAGCCATGGCTAAACGTGGGTGTGGACATGTCCAGGTTAGAACTGGGTGAGGTATAGTGCCTTGGGGAGCTGTGATGAAAGGAGGCATCCAGGCGACTGTAGGACCGGCGCACTTTCTTAGACATCAGCACATCCCTCTCATCCTGGGGAGGAGAGGAGTCACATACATTGGTGCTAACCGTAGACAGAACAGGCTTCTCCACTGCCACAGGGCCTGAGGTGTTGGCAGGGAGAGATGATGCCAAGACTGGATTAGCATCGGTGCTTCCATATCCTTTGGTCTCGCTGCTCTCCAGTGGGAAGTTCTCCTTTCCTGCTTTCTGGGATAGCTGCAAGGAAAAAAGAGATTCAAAAAGTGGCTTTATCTTTCTGACTGCCCTATCTTCTATGCAGTCGCTCAACTGCTTCTTATTGGCAGGGCCAATCAACACTTCAGTCTCAGGGCTGTCTAAAGGAAATGGGAAATATAAGGCAGCTCAGCCAAGTTCAAAGACTAACCCAGGTGTGTGGAGCAAACCCAACTCTAGTAATTACTTGTCACCTACAATCCCTCTTGTTCCAACTTTTAGGTCACACCATCACCTCAAAAGCCAGGAATCTTAGTCCATATCTCCTATAATATCTTCCCCGTTTTTACAGATGAGAAACTAAGACACAGAAACCAAGACCCAGATTTTTTCAGAGCAGAAACTTGAACCCAGTTCTGCCAAGGGACCATCCCCTTCCCTTCATATTCAATATACTGTCTACTCAAACCCAAAGGAGAACATAGACACTCACCCTGGGGCTGCGCCATGGAGCCACAGCAGTACCAGTCACCTTGGAGGAACAAATGAATAAATTACAGTTAGTGCTAAGGCTGCAGCAGGACACAGGGTCACAAAAGGACACAAAACATGTCTGTAACATTGGAGCCAGACATGCACATACAGAGCATGGACATTGTTATCGTGTGTTTCGAAAGAGATGCCATCCCCAATGCTAACTGTTAGGACTCTCATAAAAGTCAGATCTTTTCCCAAACATCAGATGTCTCAGTTCAGAACTCAACACTCTGATCCCTCAGGAGTGGGTGTCTGGGATGAGAACGTGCTCAGCAATGCACAGAGAAGGTAGCTCAACTGTCCCCCACAAGATGTCAGGTATCTAATTATCCCATATCCCTCAGTGGGGTTTTCATTTACTCCACACCAGTATAAGGAATCAAGGATTAAACATGAAAACAAAAGTCCTAGAGGTTACAATAATTTTTGTGTGGGGGAGGTCTGTTTAGCTTCAGACAAAGCAACAGCAGACTGGAAGGCAAAAAAGGAAATTAATGCAACTAACATCAGCCAAAAAATGATTTAGGGACAGGCGGGCTGGGGGGAAGATGCCTCATGGTGGGAGAAAAACTAAGCTGACTGAGCTCTTTATCAAAAAGAGAGAAATTACTTATCTGGGATAAACTTAAACAACAGATAGTCTAGCAGCACCTTAAAGACTAACAAAACACGTGGATGGTATCATGAGCTGTCGTGGGCAAAACCCACTTCTTCAGATACCATCCACATGTTTTTTAAGTTTTTCCTGTTACAGACTAACTCGGCTACCCCTCTGAAGCTTTTTATCTGGGATAGTAACTTGAATTGTTCAAGATGCCCTATGAGTGCTCCACATGGACATACATGCTCTTGACTGCAGATTTTTATCCACAGCGTTCACAGCTCCATCGTAGCATCCCAGAGATCCTTGTGCCCAGATATGAAGGTATGTAGGGAGGGCTAGACCTGATGCCAATGCAGTTCCTTCTCAACCACAGAAATCCCAAAAGAAAGATACTCCAGGGCTGAGGAGAAAGAGAGCAGGTAAGTGGATCACCCATAGGGGGACATCTTGAAGAACTCAGTTACTGTACTTGGTAAATAACCTCTCCTTCAATAGAGCCTGTATTGGCGCTCCACATCTTCAGACCCACAAGTAGGCCCTCCACAATGGAGGAGGGATGCCAAAAAAGTGGATTCAGTACGGCTTGTAGGATAGCACCACCAAAGGCTGCATCAGTACTGGAATGGGGCATGAGAGTGTAATACAGGTTGGACTTCCTTGGTTCAGCACCTCAGGACCTGACCGGTCCCGGATAAGGGATTTTGCCAGAAAAGGGGAGGTCATTTTTGGACCCCTGCCACAAGCTGTCCTGGCCCAGCCACCAGCCTCCTGGCTGGCTCTCCACCTCCTGCTGGTCCCACTGACCCCTCTGGGCAGCCAGCTGCACCACTCAGCTGCCCTCCCATCCCCACAGGGCAGCCCCGCTGCCATGCGCTGTGCAGCCCTGCCGTCAGCTCACTGTGGGCAGCCCACAGCCTTGCAGGAATCCTTGCCTGCCGTCAGCTCACTGTGGTCAGCCCACAGCCCTGCAGGAATCCTTGCCACTGGCCCTCCACTGGGAAGCCTTGCAGGAATCCTTGCCACTGGCCCTCCACTGGGACTCTCTGGTCCTGCAACATCTGTGCCAGACCATGGATGTTGCTGGACCAGAGAATCCCAGTTAAGAGCGTTTCAGTCTGTACTGGTAAATGTGTGCCGCGAAGACCTGGCGGCTGCTTTGCAGGTGTCTGAGATGCATGCATTTTTGAAAATGACTACAGGTATAGACTGAGTTCTGGTGGTACAAGCAATAACTTTTGGAGAATGGGATGAACCCCTGAAAACTCATAGCATGATAGAATGCAACCTGCAAACCACATAGACAGTCTTTAGGTGGAGAATGGATGTCCCTTCATTTGTTTTGCAACAGAGATGAGTCCCAGTGAAACCTGAAAAGGGTCTAGTTCTGTCAAGGTAAAAGGCAAGAACTCTTTTAACAGTCAGTGTATTGGAGGCTCATTTCTTGTCTAGAAGAATGAGGCTTGGGGTAAAATACTGGTAGGTTAATCTTCTGACTAATGTGGAATTCAGAAGAAACTTGAGGAGATAAGCAAAGATGTGGACCATTGTCATCTTATCTCAGTAGAAAAATAAGCATGGTGGGTCTGCTCTCAAGGCTCCGTGCTCCACTATCTTCCTGTCCATTCAAAGTAATGGCAAAAAGGAACAAGGTTTTGAGGGACTAATGAAGGAGGCAGCAACTTCCCACATGTTCAAAGTGTGGTTTCCTCAGAGCACCAATAAATAAAAGTGAGATTAGTTCCTTGATCGAAGGGAAGACGTGGAACAGACCTTTGGCAAATCTTGCAGCAGCGGATTGAGCAAAGACTGAGAGGCCTTCTCTGGGAAGATGACAAGCTGGGATGGCAGCTAAGTGAACTTTGATGGAGCGCAGCAAGAAGCCTGTGATTTTAAATTCAGCAGTAATTGAGATTGTGAGCTAAAGAACATTTTACAGGAAGAATAACTTGATGGCTGGACCAAACCTGGAGCATTTCCACTTTCGCAGATTAGTATTTCTAACTGTGCACTTTCTGCTATTAGGGAGCACCATCTGAATTGCTGGAGAGCAGATTTGTTCTCTATCAGAGAGCCATTGAGTAGTAATGCTTTGAAGTGAAGTACCATGAGACTGGGATGGGACTGATCCCGATATCTAGATAAGGTGACATGCTTTGAAGTGAAGTACCATAAGACTGGGATGGATGACTGATCCCGATATCTAGATAAGGTGAATTGGGGTCAAAAGAAATCCGAGAGGAAGGCTGCAGAAAAGCACTTAGATCAGTATCCAGTGTGATGGGCACCAGTACCATCGTTTTATGGCTTTGGTGCATAAGGACCGGGATTTTGCTCCTCCATACTGTTTGATGTAATACTATGCATCAAGGATAACAGCACAGCAGTGTAAGAAGTGATGGCAAGTGTAGCTGACTGTTCTGTGGTCCAATATGTTGAGATGGAGTATTGCCTCCAGAGCTGTCCATTTGCCCTGAACTGTGAAGTTTTGGGTTTGTACCCCAACATATGGTGATGCTCTTCACTGAAGGTTGCTATACAAACAGAACTCCTTTTGTGGGTCCTTCTATTAGTCCAGAGAATCAAGGCCCTTCTGAGGTACTGACACCTGCTTGGACAGGTTGTGTTTGTGGGGGGGTTCTCAGCCATGCTTGAACACATCAGAAACGGGAGTGGTAAACATACAGGCTGTCACATGATCCAGAAGTTGTAGGTGAACACTTGCAGAGGTTAGTGGACTCTGTTAGATTACTGAAACAAGGTTGGACATGGGGGTGAATCTGCCCTCAGATAAGTATGCTCTGGAAGGATGAGTGGCCCAGAATGTCCCAGATTAAACCTATATGTTGTATGGGTGTTAGGATAAACATCTCCATTTTGAGATGGAGAAACAGTGAATGAAACAGTGAGAAATGAGAGGGTCTTGCTTGTTGCTCTTTGTACTTTGAGGATTGGCCTTTCAGGAGCTAGTCACTAGGCATCATCATCTTTTCCTACCTATCTGGCAAAGATAGGCTGCTATAGCTGACAAAACTTTGGTAAAGAACCTTGGATGAGAATGGGGTGAAGAGGCCAAAGAGTAGGACCCCATGCCAGCAGTGGTCCATTGGGAGGTGGCCAGAGGTGTAGATACTGGTGGTTCCAGGCCCTGGGAAGAGACCTGAACTTGTGTCAGTATTGAGATTAAACAGGGAGGCTGGTGAGGTGGTTCCAGAGAATGCTCTAACAGTACTGACTAAAAGTATTTTTCAGAGCCCCCAAAGATTGCATGAGGAAAGTGTTGATACCAGAGAGTGACTCGCTATTGAAGAAATGGACGGAGGCTAAGTAACAGTGGGGAGTATCTCTCAGTACCTCTTAACAGTGACTTGGGCTCATTGAGGATTCCCCATAGTATAGGAGCCTGGGATGTGGCAATCAGAATGGGAATATTGTAAGTCTAAACAGGTGCTCACACAGTATCTGTGCCATTAATAACATCTCCAGGCAAGTAGCAGTACAAAATACTGCAAGCTACGTATGCTGGAAGTGATCTGCCGGTGTTGAGGCAGGACCTGACAGGTGTTTGTCTAACATGTTTTTAAAATCCTCCAATGATAGGGGATCCACAACCTCCCTTGGTAACTTATTCCAAGACTAAACTGTCCTTAGGTTTGAAAGCTTTTCTTATCATCTAACCTGAAACTCCCTCACTGCACATTAAGCTAATTACTTCTTGTCCTGCTTTCAGTGGACACGGGGAACAATTAATCACTGGCCTCATTATAACATCATTTAATGTATTTGAATAATGCTATCAGGTCCCTATCAGGCTTCTTTTCTCAAGACTACCATGTCCAGTTTTTTCCATATTTCCACATAGGTGAGGTTTTACCATTTTTATTCCTCTTCTCTGAACGCACTCCAGTTTGCCCACATCTTTTTTAAAGTGCAGAGGTCAGAATTGGATGGAACATGACATTCAGGACCTCGCCAGTTCCAATCAGAATAAACCAATTGCCTCTCATCTCTTTCATATGACACTCCTATTAATACATCCCAGAATGATACTAGCCTCTTTGAAAATGCACTACACTGCTGAACTATATCTAATTTGTGGTTCACTAACCCCCCCCAAACCTTTTCCATAGTACCATCATCTAACCCAGTGTTTCCCAATTTTATTTGGCCACGGAACCCTTTTAAACTCAAAAGAATTTTGCTGAACCCCTAATAACAGTCATGAGATCAACATTTAGTTTAATTTCACATATTTAAAAACAAAAATCACATACTTTTTTTTAAAATCATAAAATGTTATTGTAACGGAATTTTCTCACGGAATCCTTATTTTCACTTCGCGGAAATCCAGGGTTCCACAGAACACCATTTGGGAAACACTGATCTAACCAGTTATTCCCCATTTTGTGCTAGTGCATTTGATTTTTTTTCTTGCTAAATGTGGTATTTTGATCTGCAATCAGCAAAATGAAATTCAGTAAAAAGAACTGCAATTTGTAGGGGCCATTCTGAATTCTAATCCAGTCCTCCAAAGCGCAGACCCTCCTAGTTTGGTGTCATGCACAGATTTTAAGCATTCTCTCCACTCCATTATCCAAGTCATTAATAATGATTTTAAGTATTCTCTCCACTCCGTTATCCAAGTCATTAATAAAGCATTGAGTAGTACTGGGCCCAAGAGAGATCCCTCTCTATACACTCTTGCAGTTTGACAGTGAACCATTCATAACTATGCTTTGCAAACAGAAACTGGACACAGTCTTTCTACCAGTATCGCACCCAACTTACCATAAAGGAGAAGCAGCTGCAAGCCATGACTCCTGTATTTCTATCCCAGCTCTGGAAGAACAGTCACTACTGGGTTAGAGCAGCAGGATTTGGAAGCCAGGACTCCTGGGTCCTAATAACAGCCTTGCATAATCCTTCCCAACTCATTTAAGTACTCTTTGCTTCACCTATAACATATGATACAGAAAACCTTCTGCAGAGCCAGAACTAATAGCCTGAGTCCTGTCATCCAGTCCACTCTGCTCTAACGGACAGCCCTCCATTCCAGAGCTGGAAACAGAAACAAAATGAGGTTTGCTTTTCCTTTCTCAGTGGGTTATGGTGGAATTATCAATAATATTGGAAATCATTAATACTGACATGGAAAACCACCACATTAATCCATAAATTCCTTTATTAAATGCAACAGCCAAATTATACAGTTGCTCTAAATGTGCCTAAGCAGTCTAATTAGTAAGCAAATTACTGCATCCAAACAGGAACAAAATATTTATAAGCTTTTGATCAAGATGCTTACAAACAAACTAAATCCACAGGTGCTTAGACCCATATTAGTTAGTTACATATTGGTCAGGAAGATATTAGCAATGAACTTTTTAAGAGTTTACTTTTTATGCCCTTTATCAAACAAGCAAAATCACTGCCAATTATTGGCTTCAACTAACAACCAAATTGAGACTATTCACCCTTATTTTGAGTCTTAATCCAGATAAGAAAGAAAAGGCCTTGAAGAAAGACTGTTGTAAATCTTATCTCCTCCTCTTCCCCTATCACTCCTTGCTTACTAGCAGAAAAGGAGTGGGGAGAGCTGGGCAGTTTTCCTTCATCTTGTTAATGCAGCTCTTTTTGAACCATAATACTAATAATTCTCATGGCCTTCTTTTACTTGCTGATTGGGACCTTCTTTACAACACGTACATATATAAATAGGGTCCTACCAAATTAATGGTCCATTTTGCTCACATATAAATAGGGTCCTACCAAATTCATGGTCCATTTTGCTCATTTTCACAGTCATGGGATTTTAAAAATCATAAATTTCATTATTTCAGCTATTTAAATCTGAAATGTATCAGAGGGGTAGCCGTGTTAGTCGGGATCTGCAAAAGCGACAGAGAGTCCTATAGCACCTTATAGACTAACAGATGTATTGGAGCATAAGCTTTCGTGGGCAAAGACCCACTTCGTCAAATTCATGCAACAGCCAAATTATAGCTTATGCTCCAATACATCTGTTAGTCTATAAGGTGCTACAGGACTCCTTGTTGCTTTTGTAAATCTGAAATGTTATGGAGTTGTAACTGTAGGGGTCCTCGCCCAACAAGTTGTAGGTGGGTTGCAAGGTTATTGTAAGAAGGGTTGCAGTACTGCTACCCTAAGTTCTGTGCACATGCTGGCCGGGAGTCCAGCTCTGAAGGCAGAGCTACCGCCACCAGCAGTGCAGAAGAAAGGGTGGCATGGGATGGTATTCCCATTACTTTTGTGCTGCTGCCTGCAGAGTTAGATGCTCAGTCAGCAGCTGCTGCTCTCTGGCTGCCCAGTTCTGAAGGCAGCAGTGCAAAAGTAAGGATGGCATAGTTGGTATGTTAAAAGGATGCTGCCTTCAGAGCTGGGTGCCTGGCAAGGAGCAGCTGCCACTCTCCAGCCATCAGCTGCCATTTTCTGGCTTTCCAGCTCTGGAGACAGCACAGAAATAAGGGAGGCAATACCATGGACCCCCTAAAATAACCTGACTTAATAGCTTCTGCAACTGTCCTTTGGGGCTAGTACTCCTAGTTTGAGAAACATTGGTTGCCCTGGTGAAATCTGTATGGCATACGGTAAAAGCGCGCACGTGTGTACACGCACACACAGACACACATACACACAAAGATAGTGGCTTGTGATGCATTTTACATGGCTGTGAATTTGGGAGAGTCCTTAATCAAATTTATGCTAACTTTAATTCTTTATTTGTATATATATCCTATAGGCTGAAAAGCGATGTGTGGTCTGGGGCTGGTTTGGACTTGGGCGGTACAATCAAAACAGATTTCAGTTCATGTGTGTACACAGACAGACAGCTACAGGAAGATTTGACTCACAGACCTGCTGTTTTCGGGGCATGATCTTTTTCACTAAGACTGATCGCTTCACCACTGGAGCTGGAAGCTGCATAAATAGGATAAATGAAACAAGACTAATTATTTATTTCTTGTACTATAGTAAAGCCTAGAACCCCATTGCTCTAGGTGATGTAAAATAACTAAAAATGGCCCCTGCTCCACAAAGCTTCCAATCTAAGCATAAGACAAAACAGACAGATGTGCTCAAGGAAAGAAAGATCACACTGGAACACAAATAATCTTAGATGATACACTGAGCTACCTTTAGCATTTTATTTTATTTAACAGTAACACAAGGAACCTATTCATCTGCATCCTGTAACATATTAGCTTATGCAGTTACCATGATAAGGCTTAGAGGCCCATGAACTTTATTACTGATAAATGGACCCACAGTGACCTTGATTTCTGGGGAAGTGACAATAGTTTGCTTAAAGCAGAGAGTCTTCTTGTAACCACAGGAACACTGAATCAATAAAGGCAAAAAAAAAAAAAAAAAAGCATTCCTGGGTCACAGATGGTATGTCTACACTGCAGAGTTTTTCCAGAAAAACTACACTTACGTCCACGCCGCAATTGCATTATTTCGACAGAAAGTCGAAAGAACACAGGGGTTTTTCCGACAGTAGTAAACCTCTTTCTACGAGGAACAAGCCTTTTTTCTGAAAGAGCTTTTCCAGAAAAAGGCGTGTGTGGACGGGGAAGAGGGTTTTTTCTTGAAAGAGGCGGCCTCCAGGAAAAAGCACAGATGCCCTAGTGGCCACTCTGTTCATAGTAACCACAACTTAAATGTGAGACAGCGTCCAACCAATATGGACACTATCTTTCGAGACAGCAGATCGCGTTTTCTTTTCGCTTTTTCTGTGTGGACGCTCTCTTTCGAAATAAGTTTTTCTGGAAGATCTCTTCCGAAAAAGCGTCTTCCCAAAGAAGCCTGCAGTCTAGATGTAGCCAAATAAAGTGGAAATTGCTCCTCTGCCTCTCCTGAGGGTCCAGATGGCAGAAACTCCTAAGCAGCCTGTGACTCAGGGATCTCTTGATGCCAACTGACAGAGGGTTTGGGCTTTTTACAAGGATTCCTGGATCAGACAGATGCATAATAGTTCAGACTCAAGGATGGTATATGAGTTCTCTGCTGAAAGCCAGTAGCCCAGTGACCATCATCTCTCTAGATATATATAAAAAAATTTCCAGAAAGAGGCCAAGGGGGAGGCTCAACAGGTGGAGTGGAAACGTACAAACATGTGGTAAACAAGTCTATATATGGAAATGTGATATGATTCGCCAAAGGTTCCTGTTATGTAACTGCCATGTGTCACAAAATATCAAAGGAAGGGGCTTCTCTCGAGGGGCTCTGGCTGATTTTGTACCAGGGTCTCCCTTTGTGCACATTGAATAAAGATTCGTTGAACTGAACGAAGCATCGAAGAGACTTGATTTCGCCAAACACCTGATTCATTTGGTTATCATTGGGTACCACAAAATCCCAACATAGACCCTGGTTTCTTTCCACATCTAGAGCAAGTGTTCTCACAGTCCACAGGGCCAAGCTGATGAAATACTTCAAAAAACCCTTGTCATCTGCCTAGTCACTTGGACTCTGTGCTAGGGAGTAGTAATTGTGACAGTTCCACTCCCCCATGCTTCATGACATTTGGCTTATGAATATAAATATACATAACCTGAAGTTGCTTTAAATAAAATACCACATGCAATCTATCAGTTACAATCTTACAATCTGCTGGATCTGTGTATCCTATTTTGGAGCATGTATCATTCTTGTATGAAAAGTTAGAAATAAAAAATATGATACTATTTATACTCGAAGTCTAACTCCTAGTAAGGCATGGTGAAGCTCAAACAGAAGCAATGGGTTTGAGTCAAAAATGATTGAGGCTCTCTAGTTTATGGTATGCAGGTAAGCCTACCTGACTAGAATGGGTGCAGGTGTGTGATGGGCTTAAAATCTTTGGCTCTGCCTATCCACAGCCCAAGTACAATAGGGGCAATGCCTACCCTCCCCAATTATCTCTAGTAAATAAGGGTTTATCCTCTGCAGCCCATTCAATTCTCTGCTAGGGATGACACCCAGTGAGTAAATCAGTTAAGCAACATAGTAATTTGTGGTGTTGGACTAAGAAATTGAATTCACTCTCGCAGGCCACTGAGTGGATTTCAGACCGGAAAAACTTCTAGTTAGCCCTAACTATTGTACACAGTGCCAACAGCTAAGCCCACCACGGGGCGCATTACTTATAAAGCTCCCTTAACATGCAAAGAGTTTACACTCTTGACAGCTTTCATATTTCCAAGCACAGTACTGTCTGCACATCTGTCCAATCCATTCCTAGGGTGCGTCTACAAAACTCCCTAAATGCGAAATAAGATATACAATTTGAGCTACACAAATTATGTATCTTATCTCGAATCTATGTCAAAAGACTATTTTGAAATTTGGTGCATCTATACAGTGCCAAATTTTGAAATAACGCGCTATTTTGAGGTTTACTAGGATGGCAAAATAATGCACCGTTATTTAGAAAAATATTTCAAAATAATGGGCAGCTCGTGTACACATGGGGTAGCTATTTCAGGATACCTCCGGTATCCTGAAATTGCCGTGCACTGTAGACATACCCTTTGGAAAGCTGTAGCTTTTCCTTAGAGGACCAAGGATACGCCTTTGAAAAGCAAAGAGCAAATTTGCAGCCCACCCTTTGCCTTGCAATAGTAAGGAGTGTACTCTCCATTGTACAACAAACTAGGGATATATGAGAGGCAACAAGGACAGGGTAGGGGGGAAGAGAACAAGAGCTGGTTCCCCCCAGCACCGTCTCCGCAGTGCCACCTGCCCCTCTGCCTTCCCCCTCCACTGCCTCTATCAGAGGCAGCAAGGACAGGGAATAGGGGAGGCTGCTGCAGCAGTAGCCACTGGGCCCCCACGCAGACACGGGCTGCTGCTGGAACATCCCCTGCCCCCAGCCAGCCAAGCCGCTACCAACAGGGACCACTGGACTCAGCGTGAGCCGGGACCAAGCAGTCCTGGCTTGTTCAGGTCTGGGACTGCTGCTCCTTTGCATTTAAATGTAGTAAGCGCCCAGCAGCTTTTACTACATTTAAAATGCAGAGGCATAGTGATCCCAGAGCAAGCATCCCTTTAACAACTACATGATTAGCAAAATACCCATTCCTTAACATCCTTAAAACAAACCACTTGAGTAAGACACTTGCCCTGGAGAGCTTATGATCCAAATAATTAAGAAACAGTACAAACTGGAAAGTGCCTTGGGTGAGTAGATAAAAGTGATCAGAGCATCACGGGATTCTGCACAGGGGATGCTTCTGGACTGAGGGCACAACTCAGGACAATATTTAAAGCTGACAGCCTGTTGAGTTGTCCAGAATGGGAAATCTAGCTTTTCAGGGCTTCCACTGCATACTCCAAATCCTCCCACAGCTGGGTTTGAGAACATTCAGGACTAACAGGAGTACATTATTACTCACTGGGCTCCCCACTATCTTCTTCTCTACCAAAGGTTTCCTTTGGGAGGCACGCCTGGTAGGAGACCCTGCAATCCTCTCGGACCTACGCCTCGGACAAAGAGAGACAGCATCTGAAAGTGACAAAGAGAAAACATGTTTGAAAATTAGTTGTTCCCACTGCATGAGGAAGCCTCTTCATACAAATTACCAAAATGGGGACATTTAACTACCTCTCAGTACTTTCCTAACTCCTGGTGCTTGCCTTTTTATAGGCATACAATGTTAGGAAACTGTGAAATACCCTCCAGTCCTGCATCCTACTCCCAAGGAATCCTCCAAACTAAAATAACATTTCTACGCATATAAGAGGATATAAGAGAGTAGTTGATTAGCTGATAAGCATAGGCTTATTGCATAGTCAGGTAGTCAAGTCAACTACTAGCATTTCTCCTCTCCCCCTTGCTGCCTCTATATCAAAGGCAGCAGGGGTGGGGTAGCAGGAGCTGGGAGAAGCCAGCTTAAAAGCTGATTCCTCCCAGCACCATCTTCACGGTGCTACTTCCCCTCCTCTCCCACAATACTGCCTCTGGTGGGAGCCAAGGGAGGTTGCTCCAGCACAGCCCTTGTCCACAAGGAGCTCCAGTGGGGAGTTGGAACCCCCCATGGACTAAGGCTGCTGCCAGACCAGCCTCCACTGGTGCCCCACAGCAGTACAGGGTGTGGGAGGACACAAGCTCTTCAGTGGGACCCTCCACGGACAGGGGATGCTGGCTTGAGCCAGGACTGAGCAAGCTTGGCTCATGCCAGGTTCAGAAGCTACCCCCACTGCGGCTCTGCAGTTTAATTGTAGTTGGAGCTAGGTTGCCTGCACACCTGGCTCCTACTACATTTAAACTGCAGAGCCGCAGCAGGGGTGGCTCTTCCTGAGCACTTTCGCGCACTGACTAATGGTGTAATCGATACAAATTGTATCCACAACACGATTACTCAAGTACCCGCCTCTTAACATCCTTACACCTTGCTCCTCCAGTGAGAACTCTGGCCCAGCCTCAGGGAAGAGGCCCACAGGGAGCAACACCTCCTCCTCCTCCTCCCCTGCGCCTCCAGCCCCCCACAGCGCTCCAGCAAATGATCCTCCACATGCTGCTCTCAGGGAGGGGAATCCGCTCTAAGCCGGCTCCGCCTGCAATCCCCCTAAGGGCATTGCTGCCCCCGAGACCACGCCCCTCCGGGCAAGCGCCCCCAACGGCCACGCCCCCCGCCTGCCCA